TAACGTCATTAATCCAATCTAGGTTGATGCACCCGTCGCGAAAAACTAAATGATTTTATTATTAAAAATATCATTGAAAAAAATCATTGAAAATGAATGGCGTTTTCAATAGTATTTTATAACAAGCTGAATGAGCCAATGGTAATATTTTATTACTGGCTAGTAATGCTTTCAATGGTTTTAATTTTATAGTTTTATTGCTAAAATGAGTATTATTATTAATATCTTATTCCAGAATACACATCATAAAATTATGATTAAAAAAAAAGTTTTTTTCTGAATTCGGGAACTAATTTAATAATGCTTCGAAGCGGTCACCCATCCAGTTGCATACCGCCATCCATTATCCTTGATTTCTGAAATCGTATGGAAATCGTAGCCCTTTTCGATGATCCACAAACATCTATATAATCATGGATGTATAGCTATGATACATCTGTTCAATATATGGTCCTGATAGAAATTTGTGCAGTTCAACTGAACATTCAGTTAGTTACTGTCTAATATTTAATTTTAATGTTATAACGACTATTTTCAGGTTAGGAAATCATACGCTGTACTTTCGTAGTACCAGTTATCATGTATTGGGTCATTTAAAAACCGTGGATACTTTTTAGATGACCCAATATATCGTCTTCGACTAGGTCTCCACAGTCTCTCTTCTGTCGATAATAGTACACCGTATTGATACGGGTTATGTACCGTGATATACAGTATGCAGGTACAATGTTGATATGTATGCTGTATTATAATATCATGGACCTAGTTTCCACCGAGGGTTTAAATAGGATCAGATTGTTGAGAACCAATCAACTAGTCAAGTATTCTCCTGTTATAGTCGAATGACAGAGGAACTTGCTCGACTGTAGTTGGTTCTTATATTCCGGTTTAAATTCTCGGTGAAAACTAGGCCATGTATACTTTTTATACTGCTACCATACAGTTATGGCTATTGGAGCGACTGCTGTGCAATATGGCGCCGATGGTTACCAACCAAAGGCGAAGGACAATTGGCGGGAAATCGTTAGGTTGAGAATGAGTGCTACTCACTGCTTTTGATTTTTATGCCATAAAGCGATTTAATACAAACTTAATATTAAACTAACTAAATACTAAATACAAATATAGATTAGAAAATAGAGACGTGATTGCGCGTGTAAGACGGCTCGGATACCGGCATGGTGTCGCGGATTACCAGAACTATGAAAATACACTTAAAGTAATTATCTGACAATGCTAATAATTATCACAGACATGAACAGTGATCGGTATCGGTCTCGCGGAATACACAAAGTAATTCGGAACTTCAACTTCTGAGTTCTAACTTACTGGCTATCGCAGAGACTTACACGAAGTCCGCACGCGGCATGCCATGACAGAGCGAACGGAAGAAGAAACGGAAAGAACGACTACGACATCAGCGACGGACGCATACAGCGCCGCCACTGGCGCTCGTAGCGCCGCAGCTAACGTTCGCAGCGCCGCGACCAACGCTCGCAGCGCCGCGACTAACGCTCGCAACGCCACAGTACTCCTCTCCCAGTGTAAACGTTAAAGAAAGAAATACTGATTAGAATATCGCTAGAACGAGAATAACAAAAAAAAAATAAAAATAAATGTAACAAACAGAACTTATACATATTGGTTTGCTTAACGTAACATTGCGCGAATTAATTCTTAAAACTAATAGTCTTTCGCTTTGTTGCTGGACTAGAATATGTTTTTGGTTTACTTTGCACTGGAATGTCAGTTGAAGACGAAGATGCAGTGGACGGAATAGTTCCTGAGTCTTGGATTAGTACATACGCGGGCTTAAGTCTGTCGATCGTGACGTTGCTGAATTTGCCGTCGATTTCAATGGCGAAGATTTTGTTCGAGATGCGCTCTAGTACTTTATGCGGTCCGGTATATGATTGATCCAGAGGTCTGTTGCCTTCAACTTTGCAGAAAACGTGAGAGCAATTATACAAATCTTTGTGGAAAAATAGCTTAGGTCTAATGTGATGAGAAGTTGGTCTAGGCCGCAACTTTTGCATAATTACGCGGAAATCCTCGACGAAAATTCATGGGTCACTCGGCATTTCTTCAGAGGAGAAAAATTCACCTGGTATCTTGAGCGTAGTGCCGTACACTAATACCTATGCTTACACCGCTACCGAAGCGTCTAGATCTTCTTTGAGACAAGTTCTCAGTCCTAGTAATACTACTGACAGTGTATCAGTCCATTGAGTTTCACCGTGACACATTAATGCTGTTTTTAGAGAGCGATGCCATCGTTTGATGATGCCATTAGACTTCGGGTGGTATGCAGTTGTCCGACAACGTTTAGAGCCAATGAGTTTGGTTAATGTATCGAACAGCTGCGCTTCGAATTGCGAGCCTTGATCGGTCGTGATCAAGCGTGGAGCTCCGAATCTGGCTACTCAGTGAGTGAAAAACATCTTTGTCACCGTGTTTGCTGTACAATTCTGTAATGGAATAGCCTCCGGTCAACGAGTAAATCGGTCAATCATTGTTAATAAATACCTGAAACTTTTGAATGGAGGTAGAGGACCGACGATATCGATATGTACATGCTCGAAACGAGTATCTGGTACTGGTATTTCGGTAGGTGGGGTGTGACGATGAATTTTAGATTGTTGGCATGCTAGACAAGTGTGGGCCCACTCTTTAATGTCTTTAGACATGGAAGGCCACACAAATTTTTGTGCAATTTGCCGGTGAGTTGCTCTGCCTCTTGGATGCGACATTTGATGCCCCATGTCGAAAACTCGCCTTCGTAGTGGTCCGGGAACGTAAGATCTGATCTCTTGCTCTGAAGTGTCACAGTAAATATTGGATGCCGTTTCCGACAAGGTAAAGTTTTTGAGCTTCAAAGACGTTGATGTGTATTGCTTCAGTTGCTGTAACTCATCGTCCGAGGCTTGAGCTTCTGCAATCTCCTGCATATCGAGACTAGTTGGCATCACGATAGTGTCGGCGCGAGATAATGTATCTGCTACCATGTTATCGGCGTCTGAAACGTGACGTACATCAGTTGTGAACTCTGAAATGAAGAGTAGATGACGAGTTTGTCTTGGCGACATTTGTTCTGACTTCTTGAATACATAAAAGGGGTTTATGATCCGTGATAACGTGAAAATTTCGTCCCTCTAACATATATCGAAAATGTTTGATAGCTGCATAGATAGCTAATAGTTCTCTATCATATGCACTATATTTTGTTTGTGTAGGCGTGAGTTTCCTTGAAAAGAAGCTGAGTGGTTGTAGAAATCCGTTGCTGTATTGTTGCAATACCGCGCCGATTGCTTTGTCTGAGGCGTCTGTTTGCAACGAGAGTGTTGCATTGCTGTCTGGAAATGCGAGCGAGGTGGCTTGAGC